CTCTCTGATTTACCATACTTTTCTTTGTATTTTCTTTCTTAGTTTGCAAATATCCTATAAAGAAATTCTTAATTTATTAAAGGAGTTGTTTTCAAATAAATTAGAAATCTATATTTTCATGGGGTCCTAAGGCTCTCTTAATAATCAGTTAATCGTTCTTTCCTGGATTTATAAATTCATGTAAAAGTACCTAGAGGAAATAACATTTGCTGCAAATATTTTCACAGCAAAATGTTTGCATGTATAAAAACATGCAGAGAGGAACATGATGTTTATAAATATACAATTAAATTCTTTTCCTGAAAGATCCAGTTTCTGGGGATTCATGCAGTATATAGCTGAATATTTTAATAATGTTTTGGAGAGCTGGCTCCCTATGCTTGCACCTGTGGTTTCTTGCTGGGTAGGTTGTCACATATTTCATCTGTAACAAGTTTTCCAAGACTACCATTGTGCACTGTGCACTATTGTCAGATAGCAAAATCTTTCCTTGTGCTTGATCTCATGCTTATCTGTAAGTCATGGCCACACATATCAGCTGCCTCTCTGAAGGCATACACCTCCGAGCTCATACATTGCTTGGTTGTTTGTAGTAATTTTCTCCCATTTGACTCTTTCCGCCTACTCCTCTGCCCCCTAAAAATTTTAAGTACTGTTTCTTAATTATCTTTTGAGCAATGAAATAATCAAAATTGTGTTTCCGGCCTGTCCTCTTACATTTTCTTATTCTTCTGTAATATTGCAGTGTCATTAGACTGTGATGACTTTGAGAGTTTCACTGATGAGATGTCTAGAAATGCTCAATTTCTGTCTGATTTGAGAGGGAATTCCACTCAGACCCATTCTGTTACAGATTCTGGGTTTAGACAGGACTTCTCAGTGGACTGATCCAAGCTTTGTGTTCAGTGTGACTATACCCTTGGTTTTTGACTTGCACATAGGCTTAGGAAGTGTATTTCTTTTCTGAAAAATAACTTTGAAGACAGTGAAGCTGGCATAAAAATGCATGAGGCTCAAATGAATACCCAGAACTGTACTTATAGTGCTTTACTAGTGCTAGTATGCTATTTTAATGACTTCTAGATCTGTAGGGCCAAGGAGAAGGGATATGCTCCAGGATCTATGGCCTCCATCCCTTTTGGTCTATACTTGCTCAATTTGTCAGATGAAATTGGATAACTACATCTAGTAGAACTCTGATGGCTCATCTATATTAATTTTAACATTTATCTATAGGACATATCAAAATGGTTGGAAACTGTTCAGCAAGATGCTGCTGTGGATATAGGATAGAGAAATGTATGCCTGGTGACCCTCCCATAAAAAGATTTCCTTTAACTGCTGGATTGGAACAATTAAATAAGGTCTCAGCTTCATTTCCTCAGAATGTATTGTCTTTACAAAGTCCAATGAAACTGAATGGATTTTGGTTTGTTGGTCCATGCTTTGGAAGCTGAAGTTTCAAACAGGCATAATGTGGTACTATAAAATGCATGAAAACTTGGATTTGTTTCTCATACATCATGAACACTAAGCAAAATTTTGCTACTTTATTTCTTTCCCAAGGTTTTCAATGGCAGTTCTTGTATTTATTTTTCCCATACCTTTTTTCTCTCTCCTCTCATTCCAGACCTGGATCTTGTGATTTTTTTTTTTCTTTCATGTAGGTAGTTAACATTTTATGTGTTTAAAGCAAAAGAAAGAAAAAATCCTATCTAAATATCCCATACCTGAGATCCAAGTGAAGTGCATGTCTACCTAATGTGTTTTGAATTTCTTAGAATTTAGGTGAATTCAGTTTATAAAAACATTCTATGTGGTAGTTTAGATTACCAGCTCTTAAGAGATTGATACTGCCTATTTATAAATATTGTCTAGAAGTTTTTAGGTGCTAAGAGTGTACAGGCAATTGATAAATAGTAGTTTATAGGATGTAAATGCCAGTAATACTCATTTACTGGCTTTTTTTTTTTTCTGTATTGCTTTGTTTTCATTTCTGGTACCTCTGGTTTTCTTCTGAGATGTGACCATGTCAAAGTGTACCAGAAGGCCTTTACTGAAGGGACTGGTACTCTGAGGGCTGTTTTAATCTTCCACTTTCCTCCCTGCCCTCCTTCACAGTTACCTCTCAGTAATTCCCTTTACTTCTTAGCAGGTATTCAAGGACATCTCCATCAGGTTTTTTTCCTACCTGCTTTTTGAGAAACACTGTAAAAAATGCTGACCATAGCAATAATTACGTTCTTTTTTGGCACAACCCACTCAACTTCTTTGCCTCTTTTGACTATGTTCTTAAAGTCAGGGAACTTATAAATATAGAAAACTAGTTTGTTTTATTGCACAGAGGAACATCTTTCTGGTAAGTGGGTGAAAATGAGTCAGTGAGGCAAAGAAAGTGAGAACACCTTGAGAGATCCACCTTGATTATTATTATGGAAACTTGGAACTGTTTTCAGACATTAGGTAAGTGATGGTGAAGCTGCTTTTTGAACTATGACTTAGGAAGATGAGCTTATATCTCATGATATAGAAAAATGTATGCTTGTATTTAATACTGTTTAACACGTGCACATATAGCTACAAAGATGTGTGTGTGCAGAGATGTATGCACACACACAAGTATTAAATAGTTAATGCTACATTTGCCATGAACCATCTACGGTGTTCTCATGCAACAAAAGTTCTTTTTTTTTTTTTAATCCTCTCTGTCTGGCTACATATTTCATCCCGTTAAATGTGCTCCCCAGTGGAACCATTCATAAAGTTTAATAACACACTCTACCAGTGATGCACTCTTCAGAATACTGACATTGATTTTTCTTCTCTAAAAGTGTGACCTGCCAGTGTAGCCTTTGTCCTAAGGCCTAATAATACACGATGTTCCTGACAGCATGGGATGTGAGTGCAGATGTTCTGCAGGCATCTGAAAAAAAGCAGCCTCAGTGCAATCTCTAGTGCTGTCGAAGGCATTTTATTTGCTGCAGATCAATGTCTGCTTTGAAGAGGAATAATTAAGGTGTTTTGTTCCTTCTGAAAAGGGTTCTCAAAATTAGGTTTGTGTCATCCAAGGCTAAATAAGGGGCTAGATAGATATTCATGAGGCATCTTGTTAAACTCACAGATGCTTAACACTTTAAAAATTCTGATTATTAAGGTAAGAACCTAACTACAGGTAGCCACTTTAATGATAATGGTAAATATAGTTGATGCTGTTAAAAATACCACAGAGGATCTGAGCACCTGCCTTTCTGTTCTAGAGCACTTTTGCAGGAATGCTTATCCTGAGATAACTTCTAAGAAAAATGCTATTCTCTTCACTGCCATATTATAGGTAAGGCGTAGGAAATGATACTGTTCATTCTGCATCATGCAGAGCTGCTTCTGAAATTTTCATCCTAGCAAGGTCACAGAGACATTTCCTTGGACTTTATTTCATCCTTCAAGGCTGTATGGACAGATTATTTATTTGTTGTTAATTGTTGTTAGCTTTGCTGTAAGTAAATCAGAATTTGCAGGGTTGTTGCAGAAATTGCCAGGGTCTGTGTGATGGAGATGAATCAATAATTCCTTGTGGTCTTGAACTCTGTCAGTTTAACACTTCTGCAGTGTTGGGCTGCATCTTGTTAGGTAGTTGCACAACCAGTGCTGTTCTGAGGGTGTGGACCTCTTTCTTTTCCACTTATGCTTTGTATCGCAGTGGCAGTGACAGCAGATATTGCAAAGTACAGTTAAGCATGCTAAATGTATAATCCAGTTGCCTTCTAATGCAAGTTGACAGCTGCTGGCAAAGCAGGATGAAATGGTATTCTTGGAGACTTCTGCTGCAGTTCGCAGTCCGAAAAAAATCCCAATTCCTGCAGCTCCTTCTCACAGGATTTATTCAGCTTTGTTTGATGTGAGAAGCACCATATTCTTTACTGAACTAGCTCTTTATAGTGCTTGTAAATTCTCTACAATGTTGCTTGCTTATTAACAAAAATTCCTCAACAGCAACAGTATACAGCTTATGGTATTCACTATATTTGTACATAATAATATTACAATTTTCATCAAATGCAAAAGTGCGTTTTTATATAGCTAATTTAGTAACATATTCCAGCACTACATCTTAACTAAGAGCTGAAGTACATTTGCAATCCAATGTTTTAACTTGTCCTGAAGGGAAAAAAAAGTTAGCTCGTGATAAGAACATACCCCACCTTGTGTTTTCTTTTTCTCTCTTCAGAGGTGATTTACAGCTGTAAGGAGGTAAATAGATTCTCTCTGGCTGAGGTGAGAAGCCACAGGATCACAGCATGACTGAGGCTAGAAGATACCTCTGGGGACTGTCCAGTCCCATGTCCCTGCTCACAGCAGATTGCTCAGGACTGAGCCTGTTCAGGATTTAAGCATCTCAGAGGATGGAGGTTCCAGGGAATATGTAATATCTTGTTTATAGTTTTGCTCTGGTGTATTAACTGTATGGCAATTTACTAACCCAAAAGGTGTATTTAGGCTTAGACAAGACTGGCTGCCCCTGTCTTGTATACACTGCTAGAACTATTTGTGAATTTTCCAGCATTTTGAAACTTTGGAAGCATTGTTTCATGATAGGAGTGTTGTTTATTAGGGGATATGGCATAATCTGGGACTTGGGTTCATGTGTTTCTGGACCAGTTGTGTGTCCTTATGAAAGTTTTATGTTTTCTTTGTCAGTTCTCTCCAATGATTTCTTTTCTGTTTAGTTTTCAGTGTTTCTGGTGCATGGATAGGTGTGCTTTGGAGTGAGGAGAGCAACAGTGAAATCCTAATCCTCTTCTGGAGATTCTCTAGTGTTGCATGTAGGAAATAAAATGTTTGCCTTGGAGGCTAGTTTAATCATGTTTAAGTCTGGAAGTATTATTGAATGGTTACATCCAATCTCTGATTCCTATAAAAGATGCTTTTTTGCGAGTGAGCAATTCTCTTTTCAGTACCTTCTTAACAGAAAGACAACTAAGGCTTTTGCTGCTGTCTGACAGGGATTGATGGCCCAGCTGCTTTTCAAGATGATGTTCAGAAGATAGGAAGTCAAGTGCAGATTCTCACTGTTGGACAGTCCAACCATGAGGAAGATGATGGAGAGAAAGTGGCTAGTGGTCAACAACAGCAAAGCAAACAAGATCTTAGAACAGCAATGCAGAAAAAAGGTAAGTAGCCAAAGCTTCCTTCATGTTCTCACTGCTTGCTTGAGGTACATTGACTCCTTTTCATATTCTCACTCTCAGCCCTAGTCTAAGCAGAGTTTGTTAGTCTGTATTTCTTCTCCTCAGAGCCTGTTAGGCTCTATTCTATTATCTAAAAAAAACCCAACCAAAACCAAACCTAAAAAAAAAAAAAAAGATAATTAAAGTCTCTACTGTCCCAAGGAACAAGAGCTCTGCAGGCTCTCAGGGATGAGACTTCCCCATCTGCAGTGCAGTGCTATTGAGGTACCTGGCAGATGCTAATGTTCACATCCATCTGTTCTCATTTTTATATTGTACAACTCTGGGAATCACTTATTTGATGGCTAAAAAAAGAGCAGGGAATAGCAACGTTCAAACTAGAATATTCATTTTAGTTGTGCTGCCAGTTACATGTTGTTCACGTTTTCATAATGTGTGTTCATAATTGCAGAGGTGAAAAGTACAGCACTGTGTATTCTGCAACATTTCCCACACAGAGTCCTCAGATGTTCTGGAATATTTTTTTTTTCCTAGAGGCATGTATGCTTTGGAGATAGATAGTGTATGTACACATTCATGCATCTGTCTCTTCCTTCCTGCACTGTTGTTATCTCTCATTAGACAGTAACTGTAGGAAGGAAAAAAAAAAATCCTGAAATCCTCACAAAGCTTTTTCTGAAGACATTTGCTTTGGAGTTGTTCTTCTTCAGTGTACAGCTTTTGAAGCAAAGATGGCTCAAGCCAAGAGCGCTCTGATGCTTTAAGAACAAACTCTTTGTGTATAAAGAGCAAAATGTAAGTGCAAACTTGACTCGTGTAGAATAGACTATTCATACCTAAATGCCGCCTCTTGTCTGCAGAGCAGTTCTCACTAGGATTCATTTTTTCTGGGACGTTACCCTGCAGATGTGAGCAGCTTCAACTGAAACGGGCAGATTTTCTCCAAGTGCGCTATTTCCTGGGCATTTGAGTTGCAGGGGTGTTGGGCATGACTAACAAGTTCTGATCTGTGTGGTGATTGTGTTGCCTTAGACCATGGCTCAGAATATTTAATCGTGAGGCACACTACTAACTAAAGCTGATTGACTTAAAAACTACCCACAGACTTCTCAAAGTAGGTCACAGCCTTCAGATTTTTACTCTGGGGGACACTTCTAGTTTTGATGGGTTTTTCCAGGTTAACATATATTTTTATTCTGGCCAAATTTTTGTTTATTTTTAATAGAAGCAGTGAGTGGAATTTTTTTGTTTTGCTTTGTTTCTTTGTATTCTCAAATACATGATATGACCTTTTTTACTAGGTCTGAGTATACTCCTGATCAGAACAGGCACTGCTAAAAGTGAATCACTACTATGCTTCAAGTTGGGAGGGGACACTTTTTTAAAATGGGAATACTAAGGTTTATTAACAGCAGACCTATGCTGGGTGAGACACAAAGAAAGGTATTAAGACAATGCTAGCAGCATCTCAGTAAAATATTTTGACTATGTGTGTATGGTTTGCTGCTTGATACCAGCAGAGGAGGCTTGTTAGAACGTTTTGTGTATCCCAGTATTGATGTGACACTTTACATGTCAATAAGGCTCTTCATGTGGATTCCTACTGCCACTTCACTGCTTGTGGCATGTCCTTACTGGCATGTCACCATTGGTCTGAAAAGCATTTAGAATTGTCGTCTCCCATAAGTCTTTCTCTTGCGTGGAATGAGACCAAAAGGAGAAGAACACAGAGATAAAGTAGAAAGGGATCCAGTCCTGGTCAATGGCAAGTTGAATAGGAGTCAGCAGTGCCCTGGTAGCTGGGGGGCCAACCCTGTCCTGGGGGGCATCAGGCAAAACATTACCAACCGGTCGAAGGAAGGGATTGTCCCGCTCTGCTCTGCACTAGGGTGGCCTCATTTTGAACAGTGTGGCAGTTTTGGGCATCACAATAGAAAAAAGACGTTAAGCTATTAGAGAGCATCTGAAGGAGAAACCATATGAGGAGGGACTGAGGTCACTTGGTGTGTTTGGCATGAGGAAGAGGAGACTGAGGGGAGACTTCACTGAGGTCTTCAACATCCTCATGAGGGGAAGAGGAGGGGCAGGTGCCGATCTCTTCACTCGCATGACCAGTGACAAGACATGGGGGAATGGCATGAAGCTGAGTCAGGGGAGATTTAGGCTGGATATCAGGAGAAAGTTTTTCAACCAGAGTGGCTGGGCACTGGAATAGGCTCCCCAGGGAAGTGGTCACAGCAGCAAGCCTGTCTTGAGTTCAAGAAGCGTTTGGACAATGCTCTCAAGCACATGGTGTGATTCTTGGGGTGTCCTGCAGAGGACCAGGAGCTGGACTCAATGTTCCTGAAGGGTCCCTTCCAACTCAGCATATTCTATGATTCTATGAAATGCTAACCAGCCTAATGGGAAAGGCTGAGTCCCATCAGATTTGCGTAGCCCTGGTTTATGCCTGTTCTGCTCTTTGGCACTAACTTGGTGGAGAGAAACTTCTCTTAGCACATCTCTGCTTCCCCAGTGAGTCAAGTTGTGATACGAGACAAGAGGTTATAGGCTACTGAGTGTGAAAAGCATAAGCCACTTGCAAGAAAATGCCAAATGCTTTATTTGATTTCTCCATCTGTTGGAAATTGCCATACTTGAATAATTTTCTTCCTTCAGGAAATATTCGCCCTCTTGATTTCCAAAGTGTTAATCTGTAGAGTTCCTCCCTGACAAATGAGTCACTAGGACAGAGCCAGACTTCCGTAAGTTTTAGCACTGAATAACTAGCATGTAGTCCTCACATTTATCAGTTTGCAATATGTCTCTGTACAGACATGGAATGAGCAATTTAATCTTAGTTCTTCTTTGACACCTGAAGTTACAACTGTTTTGAGATTTGGGGAGGAATAGATTTGACTTCTGGATTCAAAACCAGAACAGGAGCTCTCTGAAGCATTTTTCCCCACAGGTCATGAGGGCAGACTTTTCTAAGGCTGGCACAGAATTTTCACCGCTAAAATATCAGTGGTGAAACAGTGGGCACAGGTGTAGAAATAAACCGATTACGTCTGTGGATATGAAGTATGGCCTTATTGCACAGCTGCCAGCTGAGGAGATGGACTGTCTCTGTTACCCATGCATAGAGCCTAGAACATGGTTGCCATTATTAAGAAACAGTGCTTGTGATTAATGACCGTGTGATTAATAATGAGTGAGTTCTACAGGCTTTGAAAATATCTGTTGACCTGTGAACTCAGGCCTCCCTTGCATAACCAGATCCTATTGAAACTTTTTGCTGTCGTGCTCTGTGGTGTATGTCCCTTCTGGGGGAACTGAAGAAGTGGATAATGAGACCTTTCATGATGCAGCTGAACGGAATGCAGGCATTGCATACGCTTCTGCTTTACTTTTATACACTCACTCTTACTGTTCTGGTGGTGTTTCACTATCCAGTATGCATCTGGCATCAAAAGCCATTTTAAATGTCTTTTTTTTCCCCATCTGTTCCAAAATGTGAACCGAAGTAAACAGTTATTGAGTCTATATCTACTGTTTATATTTCTGTACATTGGTTTGATTCAGTCTCTGCTTGTTGCAGACCAAGTTTGTGTTCCAAAAGACTAAGCTACGTGAAAATCTTTATGCATATCCCTGGAACTCCCAGAAAAACAGTTCAGAGAGCCTGATTTCATCTTTTAATGATGTGGAAACACTAGGCACAGGGACTGAGGTAGAATTTAGGCTGTCTGATTATGACTCTGAATACTTCTTTCAGTGTTTCCAAATGAATATTTGTGTAGAATTCGTGTGTATCACTTATTCAATCCGGTTTGAGGTGTTTGATTTTTTTGTTAGAATTCAAAAGTAGGCTGAGCCCCTACCATGCAGTGCTGCATCACACACAGGAGGGTTTGTGGCACAGCTGTTCAGTGTGGATGAGGTTTTCTGAAGCTTCAGCTCTGTGATTCAGGGTTTTTTGACTTTATTCAAGGTACTAAAAAAGAAGATGACAGGAGGTATAAGCAGGCAGAAGGTGAATTTGATTGGTCAGTGCAGAAAGATAAAATGTCCATAATTGCAAATTCAAGTGGCAGCATTATGGCCCCATCCCGTAAGCCTTTAGCCCTTTGCAGAGTCCTCTTGCCAAGTTACACTTGTTCACTCAATTAAGGGTTTGCAGAATCAAACCCTTGGATTTTTTCCTTTCCCAGATCCCCATGCAAATCCATCCTGGTCCTCTTCCACCTCCCAATCCAGTCTTGTCGCCCTGGATCATGTTCCTGGTAAGTACAGAAGGAAAAAGTTAGTTATGCCCATGCTGCTTGGCTCTGGAAGTCTGCATTTCATTTATCCTTCTGCATTGGACTTACCAATAATGGGAATTCTGGACCAAGTGGGGGTTTTTTGGTTTTTTTTTTTTATAAGGATTAAATATAACCTCTAATGTGTGGAACTTAAAGAGTTTAAACTTGAATCTGAGATAGCTTCATCTGCATGATATTCCTTGAACAACCAGACCTGGCAAATGTCCCACCATTGATGGGTTTTGCTGCTAAGACCTATTTGATGTTCAAAGTTGTGTTTCCCTTTGAAATGTCTGAGGATTTGAATTCTTGTAAAGACAAATTTTCAAGTGCTGTAAGGCAGTTCCGTTGGCCTGGGCTGATACTATTCTTTACATGAAATGAAGGTGCATGAGAACATTTCCTTCATGTGAATATTTCTTCTCAGTCTAAGATCTACTCTTCAGCAGATTTCATAGGAGCTGTTGAAAGTGTGCTGTAAAAGGGATTATATTTAAATTCTTAAGGTCTCCAAGTGGCTCTGGCAGGTTGTCCTCTCAGCTCCAATTTCAGGTTTAAGATTTTGTGTAGTGTTTGAAGTACTTGATTGGGTGAGGATGATCTGAATTTAATTCCTAACTGGGTGTTTTCTCCTCTATCACTGGGTAGCTTGATCTTCTCTGTGAAATGGAAACCATGATGTTTCCTTTCTCTTTTACTGGAATGTTTTGGCTTCTCAGGGGAGATGCCATGTGGTCATACACTGCCTCACACAGTGAACCTCCCTCACACACACCCTCACTCACCTGTGAGCCTAAGGGTGCAGCAGCATGATAAGTGATGTTTTACAGCAAGTATGGAAGGCTTTAATGTATTAGTATTTCATATAAGTGTGGTGCTTTCTCCTCAGGCATTTCAAGTAGCATGAATTTTGATGAGGAAGAAGATGAGGAAGATGAAGACAGCTCCAGTTCTTCACAGTTAAACAGTAACACCCGGCCTGGTTCTGCCACAAGCAAGAAATCCAACAAGGTAAGGTGAGAGTTTGAAGAAGGGGCATGCAAGGTGCTATGTACTGCATGATTTCAGAGTGCAGTCAGGATAGGCCTGGCTTTCTTGTTCTGTTTTTAATATGCACTGGAGTATCTCCAAGGTGATTTACTGTGATAGCTCTCAGGGTTCACAGGAGCAAGCAATGAAAACAATGACTTGGAGAGAAGAATAGCAAATATTGTCTAAACTTGAATGAAGAGAAAGGTAAACAGTAAATATTTACCTTTCTACCTCTTGCAGGTGCTCAGAAGGATCTTTTGTTGCCATTGACTTTTTCTAGGCATTTTCCCACCCTGTTCTCGCTGCCATCATCTGAACATAAAATAAGACTTTGGATTGTTCAAACAATCTAAATCACAGGCTCCTGCTAAACCAGTTGATGGTGCCCCACTCTTTTATATACTGCGCTGACTTCTCATCTTTGTTGTATCTCTATCTAGCTTAAACTGTTGCTCCCTATCCCATTTCTTCCTTTCACCAAAGGCCATCACTGTCCTAGAGTGTGGCCTTTCTGGAATAAGGGAGGCACTGAGGTGGGAAGCTGTGAGCCAGGTTTTGCTGTGTAACTGCACAACTTTCTGTCTGTGCAGCCACCCCATTCTGCTTTGCCAGCTGTGTCTGTACACTGAGCATCAGCTGCACAGGTAACTGCTCCCCAGGCCTCTGGTAGCCAAGAGCTTGACTGATTGGATTAGAAGAGATCCTTACCTTGACAAACTGTCTTCAAGGCTGCTGAGGAACCAGAATGGGGAAGACAATATGTCCCATATTTTTATTTTTTTTTAAATTGCAACTGCTATCAAATGCCGTTCCTTTGTACTTATAACCTTGTAAATCAAAGCTGAGAAACTTGAATTTTGCTTATTGTTTTAGGAAGCGGCCTCAGCCCCCAGTCCTTCCACAAATGAGCCTCTCATAGACGTCGATGACCTGGAGGAATTTGCCATAAGACCTGCTCCACAGGGTGTCACTGTCAAATGCAGAATCACAAGAGACAAGAAGGGAATGGATCGAGGGATGTACCCTACTTATTACCTCCACTTGGAAAGGGAGCATGGTAAAAAGGTCATAAAATAACTTGAATGGCATACCAGTTGCATCTGAATTTAAAAAACTGATAAAAATCTGAAGAAGTATTAGAAAGAAAATGTTTATTTTAAATGTATTTGTCACTTTCACTGAGCTCTGTCCTACAGTCTTCCAAAAGCAAAACAACAGTATCACTTTGTTCCACTGCCTTTCTTCATATGTCTAATCTTTGGCCTTAAATAATCCATGCATGGCACCTTTATGTGACTGTCAGCAGTTGGGGATCTCTGCGTTCTGTGGCCTGAAAAGCATCTACTTTCAATTCAACTGGAAGAGCCAGAGCAACTTAGAATGAAACATTTAACAAAATAGATCAAATTTAATTATTTAAACCATAAATAATAGAAGTCATTTTCCTTTTCCAGTTTTTTTTTTTCCCTGGTTTTGCTAGGTCCCAGGAGACCTTCTGTCAGGAGACCTTCTGTTACTTTGCTAATGATGCTGGAAGACAGAAAAATTGCCTGTGGTTTATTATATATCAGGGCAGGAAGTGGTGTGTGCTAATCCCTTTAGCATTCTGGAATATGTTTTTTTGCATTGCTTAGGTCTTTCTGTTAGCTGGACGGAAACGAAAGAAGAGTAAAACCTCTAATTACCTCATCTCTATAGACCCAACTGACCTGTCTCGGGGTGGAGAGAGTTTTATTGGAAAACTGAGGTAAACAGTGATAAATCTAAGAATTTTTATTATATAATACAAAGTTCATTTGATATTAAGAAGCCTGTAAGCCACTATGACTTCTTCATTAGAGGCTTGACTACATACATCATGTGATAATGGTCTTAAAGATCACCAGTATCCAAGGCATGTTTTCAAAATCTCTCAAGTATTTACAGGATCACATTTTGTTAAAAGTCATCAGGACTGAAGCTTCTTAAATGCTCAAAGGCCAGATTCTCAAGGGTGTACAAGCACAACTTATCTTAATGGGATTTTCAGAAGTGCATGAGTACATTGTGTCTAGCCTCTATTGATATAAATACCTCGGAATGGAAGTACTGTCTGTTACGCAGAGAATCTCTTTGGTTTTGCCTGTTCCTTAAGATCCAAATCAGTTATTTGCAGGTAGTGGAATTATTTCAGAAGGACATGTTTCTTTTCTGTCTGTCACCCTGTTGTACACCGGTCTGTTGTTGATACCTGGAGCCTCTCGATGTATGTTTAGATCATCTGTGCCTGAGGAAAGGGCCTGTGCTGCTCGTTGCCATTTGCCTGTGTGGATCTTGGAACTTCACGTGCTATTTATTGCAGTGCAGACACAGAATGAGGATAATGTGGTTTTGTATGTCCTACATTGTATTTTGCACTCCTTTCCATTGAAATAGGAAAGATTATTTATGACTTTATAAAAATCACTCCCTATATTCTAGTGGAGTTTAGTAGTCAGGTAAGAAAGCAGATAGTTTTGTACAGAGTAAGCCTACTTTAAAAACACAAGCAAACAAACAAAATAACCCTGCTGAGTGTTTCCTTACTGCTTTCTTGAATTTTCTAGTTTGCAAGATGAAGCCTCCAGTGTAACGATAAGGGACTTTTAGTATACTCTGCTGTACTGTACTGTTATGTTTTTGTTATGGCCTTTAATCCAGGAGTTGCCATTTACCTGAGATTAGAAATAACAGCTCTCTCTACTCAATACTTCTCTTTCCTTTGGGGCTACAGTGCAGTAAAGGATAGATGTCTCAAGCAGCATTACTGGCAAATGGTGATTGGATTTTCCGTTTTTTTGATAGATCAAATCTTATGGGAACTAAGTTTACAGTTTATGACAATGGAGTAAATCCAATGAAAACAACATCAAGCCTGGAGGCGAGTACCCTGCGTCAGGAGCTAGCTGCTATTTGTTATGTAAGTACTGCTCACAGGCAAAATGTGCAGGAAGGGCAGTTCAGTTTCTGAAACAGCACTCTGAATTTCCTTCTCACTTAGGATTATGTAAATCAGCATTCATACTTGGATGTAACAGAGCAGCTGATCTCCACTAGAGAAACCAGGAAATTCAGTGGAAAGCAGAGGTAAAAAGTGTGCACTCAACACATTGCCCAGTTCTCACCTTTGGTCAGAAGGTGTTGGGGCTTTTACATAACCCCCTGGAGGGGGTAGGATGCTTTCTGCAGGCACCAGCTGAGGGAGCCTCCTGAACTGCAAGGAGTTGTGTGCATGGCATTACTGCTCTAGTGTGATTGTTTATTATGGCGTTTTGAAGGAGGCATCTCTCATCCAAATCACAGGTAGCTGGACAGGTATGTCTGCAGCAACTGAGAGACTGGGATAAAAATTCTAAAACTCTTTTTTACCAGGAAAAAACCTAAGCAAACCCCAAGCAAAATCCAAACTTGTACTGAATGAGAGAGACCAGCCTCTTATAAGACAGTAAATAGCACTTGTCAGGAGCAATGCAGACAATGAAGACTTGAAACACAGTTGCTGCTGTTTCCTAATTGCTGGATAAGTAACAGTTTTGTTGACATGATTCTTTCTGTCCAGAAATATGTGGGCCCAAGAAATCCTTCCATTCAAAGTTGGTATGTACACTGCTACAGAAAGTTGTCTGGTTTCACAAATCAACAACTTCTGATAAAAATATCCAAGAATGGCTTTTCTGAAAAGTTCCTGCCTAGCTTTAATCAAGGGTGCTTGGAAATCTGTCAGTTCAAGGTCCAGCACATACCCAGTGTAGGCACAGAATGTGTTCCCAGAAAGGTCAGCTTCGGGTTGTGGGGAGCAATGTGTCTGGAAGATTTCAGCATATGAGCAGGAAAGCAGAGAGCCATCCTTTCCATGCAAAGTGCCAAGAGTACTGAAGTGGGACAGTATTAGCTGCCAGCGTGCTCTTTTCCTGCTGCTTAAGATGCAATTTTTCTGTGGATACAGTATAAATAGTGTGTTTGTTCACGTGTGCTGTTACTCAGGCACATAGTTTACAGTTGGAGATAGACAGAGAAACATGCCTCCACTCCTGTTAGATTTAAAACCCTCAGAAAATCCAGCTAGCAAGAGACTCCAGGACTTGGTGTCAGTTTGACTGAAGTTTCAGTAGAAACCTAGAATTTAGATGTTTAATATAGGTAATTTTACTGGTTTATATGGGAGGGCATTCCCTGGAGCTGGGCAACTAATCATCTAGTGGAAATTGAAAATACAAGAAGAAAATAAAAAATAATTGAAAAAGGTTATATATTGAAAAATTTAGGCATTGCTTCAATAATTTTTGAATGATGAACATTGCCAAATTAAAAGCTGTTGTGGTCAGAAGAGGTAACTGGAAGTGTGAATGTTGGAAAGAACCGAACCATGGCCACTGTTGGCACAATGTGGCTGAGATAAGCTGCTTTTATATGTGTATTTGTAATCAGCAGTTTGAAATTTGGACATTTGTATAAGAAAATTACTTTTTATAATAACAGAGAAAAGCAGCAGGCTTGCAGGTGTGCTGTGGCCAGAGGACAAAAGGAAATTGGAATGGTATTTCGTTACTAGCCAGGTTTGCTAAAGTGAGATTACTGTCCCTGGCTGCAGCAGAACCACAGCAAAGAGTGCCAGGAAGAGCAGTATTGAAACACCCTTGTCCTAAGGCAGTCTTTTAATTCCTGCCTTGAGATTTCCCCTACAGCAAAAACTATAAAAAACAATACTTTAGAAGCACCATTATGCCTCTCACTGTCCCTCAGCTCATCTGATCAGGTACCCATGTGGAGAGCAAGCTGTACCCACTCCCACCAACTTACTGAGCATGACCTGCTTAATCGATCGCCTCAGCAAGACTGGTTTATACAGGCAGAAACTGGTGATGCATCTGTTAACTGTGGGATAAATGTGTCGAGGACTCTCTTTGTGGAGCTCACCTTAGGGCATGTTTCAAAGATCGGGAACAGAGAGCAAGGACAGTTCTCTCAGGTGCTGTTAACCATTTTTACTCCCCCACTGCTGGCAGCCCAGCGTATTAATAAACCTGCAGCAGCACCTAATGGCTGGTTGCAGAACTGCGTGACAAAATTTATCAAGGAGCAGTGAGGTGTTACTGTAATACTTGTACCACGATTTTCTGTGCTGGATTCCTTTATATCCATAGAATCTCACAATTCAGTTTGTGTCAGATTCTGCAGGCAGGGAGCTCAGCTGACATTCTGAGGGGTGACTCAGGTTTCAGTAAAGCAACAAGACCCCGTGTCTCTACTCAGGCCTCCATCACTTGCATTGTGCTCCAGTGTTGTAGTTCTGTGATTTGGGCTTTCTATGGAGTGATAGTTTCTACAGAAGATATTAAGTACAGATGTGTGAAAAAGTCCAGAAAGGGAAGTGGCTGAAAGAAAATTGGGGTAACAAAACTCTGAATGTCCTGGAAGCTGCTGGGATATACACCTTGCTGCTTTTATCGGGGCAGCTATTGCTGCTAAAGCAAGATGCTTACATAGTTTCTTGGAAGTGTGTAAGGTTTTAAAAACAACCCTGTGGAGAGGCTCTGTGTTCTTTCGATCCAGTTTATTGTGACACATGCTCACAGAACAGCTGACTGGATTGGCTAAGGCAGAGAGTGCAGCTTCCGAGCAGTACTGGGCCAAGTCCTTAGCTGGTATTGATGATTGGTGTCCTGGTTGAGTCAATGGGTCTCTGCTAGCTAACAACACTTGTGTTCCTGTTTAAACTAAGACTGTCGGTGGCATTAAAAAGGTGTAAAAACAGAATTTGGCCTCTGTTCCCCCAGTAATGCCGTTTGTAGTCTTGAATTTACACACACAAAATCATGGAGGAGGGAAATAAAAGAGAAGCAGGGAATGAGACAGGAGATAGGGGGAATTAATTTTATTTGGATGCAGGTGTATTGGAAAGATTTGCTTTTAATTAAAACTCTTCTTTTTGTCCTGTTTTCCTCATGTATTCCATGTTTATGTAATTCCAGTTGAGTACCATGATTTTATCAAAAGGGCAGCATTTGCAATACAATGTATGATAATTGGTGATGGTTGTAGTGTGCAACTAGTGACCTTTCTCTTATCATGTGGCAGAAGTTCCAATTTTAGTGTTTCTGAGTAAATCCAAAGAGTATGGTACTGTTTTTTCAGTGATAATACTGCTTGTTGGGAGGGAAGTGATTCAGCACTATTATTTAATTTTACCTTGAACAATGTCTTCAACCAGTCAGCATCTAAATTAATTATGTATAGCATAACTGCTACCTGATGAGAAGAAAAGCTTGTAAGGCATTGCAGAGAAGCCTAAAACTGCCAGTAGTTAGTGGAAAATAAGCATAAGCATGAATTTTTTTCTTAGAACTTGTCCTCTGCTGTGCTGAGTCTCTCTTACTGGCAGTCATAGTGGTTTTCGTCTCACCGTGACACAGAACCAAGGATAACGTTTCCAACTGAACTGATAACATGTTTTACTCTGCCAAAGATGTGACATAAATGATTCAAAAAAGAGGCAGAATCTTCTCATTAATATACAGAGTTCGGAAGATAATATGAATATACCTGGATTGCTTCAGGAGTATTCAGTAAAATAGCTCAGTGGAATTTTTCTTGCACGCATGAAAAACTTTAAAGAGTTGTGGAAAATCTCAAGATGGTTTGTTGAAACAAAGTTATTTCAAAGGTCTGATGGATGACAAAACTGCACAAGTAATTTTTAGGCATATTTTTCAGATGTTTCTGGTGAGTTGAGATGCTTGGATTTTTTACTCACAAGAGTAGAAATGTTTTAAAAAGCTTAGTGTTCCTTAAAATCAGGACACTTTGATTAAAAGTATAAAAGCAGAGACATCTGAATGTGTAATTTCTAAATGTCCCAGTGGTGAAGCTCCACCAGCTGGAGGCCAGGGCTGTCTGGTTCTTGGCATCTTGTGGTATGTTGCTGGGAATAGCACCAATGGGAATGTCCTTCCTGAGATTCCTTAGTGTATGTCCACGGCCCTTCATTTCAGAATGGTAGAGGGGAAAAAAAATCCATATGACTGGAAAAAAAAATTATCATGAAACTTGAGGATATGAACTTCCAGAGGTTTCACTGTTTCATTTGCTGGAGTTAATGCTAAAATCAGCTTTTACTGAGGGGATTGGGAAATATTGCCCTTTACTTTTTCAAAAGCATAGGATGACTTAGAGAAATATTTGGCCCTAATTGCTTCCGAGGGAGAAAAAAAAGAAGTGTCAGATAAAAATAAGGCTTTAGGCTGTTTTAGATTTTAATGGTTGTGTTTTGAGAGGACACTGAGAGCTGTCCTCTGCTGGAGAGCTTTTACTGGAGAGCTTTTGTAAAAATATGGTCAAAAGCATCAGATCATGTTTAATGCAAGAACTTGTATTTTCCATGGATTTACTTTTGCTGCCCCTGTGATTTCTTTACTTTCCCTGTCTTCATAGCTAGAAAATTTGCTTTCATGCTAATGTGTTTGTTTTTTACCATGTTCATCTCTAAGCATAACATATCTGAAGACTTTGAAAACCACAGCACTGCTAACAGATGCTCTTACTGGCAGCTTCTTCTTGTTTGCTTTTGTGCTGGCTCTGGAATAAATGGAGCTGGTCCCATATCTTTAATTTTGTCTCGCATCAAAATGTGTGACTGCATTTTATGATTTTTAAATTGCAACTACTTTATTTTGGGATCTAGCAGTAGCCAAGCAATCTGGTTAATTCATATCCTTTTTTAACAAAGGGATTTTTGTTTTTAAATTATATTAAAGTGCTGGCAGCCAATGCTAGGAATGTTTTTGGAAACCTCTCTATTTCCATTTTTCCTGTTGTTGGAGCTTCTAAGACAAAGCTAGAATGTTTGGCAGTGCCAGTGAAGGTGGGAGTTTCAAGATGTTTTTCTAGTTGACTAACAAATAAGTTCCCATGGCTGCCGCTGTGTCTCTCTGTTGAAGAAATTAACTTTAAAAATAAAGAACATGATGAAATCTTTTCTAAACATTTTTAGGAAACAAATGTCTTGGGGTTTAAAGGACCTCGTAAAATGAGTGTGATCATACCAGGAATGAATATGGACCACGAAAGAGTTTCCATCAGGCCACGAAATGTAAGTCACACTGTCAGCCAACACTAAAAAATAACTTGAATTCTCTTTCAGTTAGAGTCGGGGTTTTATAATTGCATTTCTGAAGGTCTAGAGGTAAATAAAGTGGTGTTTGAACGACTGCATAACAATAGGATGTGTGACTAGTCCTGTGACTCACAAAAGCATAACAATTAATGTATTTTGGTAACAAAAGTTACAACTAACATTTTCCAAATGGTGGAAAGGACATTCACATGAAGATCCTCAGAGTTCTCTCTTTCGTTCATTGAAGCTGTTTTAAGGATTGAGGGTAACAGTTCAGTTTTTGGGCTAGGATTTATGAATTCTTATCTTCTTTTCTAATGTATTTTTTGTCATGTGATTATGTTAAAGCAAAGTGTGTATCTGTGATGTGTGCAGGAACATGAGACACTTCTTGCAAGATGGCAGAACAAAAACACAGAGAGTGTCATTGAGCTGCATAACAAAACACCAGTCTGGAATGATGACACCCAGTCCTATGTTTTAAATTTCCATGGTCGAGTCACACTGGCCTCGGTGAAAAACTTCCAAATTATTCATGACAATGATCGTAAGTACAGCTCTCAGTGATGTGTAGGAAGAGTACTGCATGCACAGCCTGGGAGGGATTCTGCACTTACAGTTCTTCTGAGCAGGTTTAATTGAATTCTGTGGGTCCAGCTTAGTGCTGCTCTGCCATATGGCCATGGCATTGATACAAGTTAGGTGTTCAAATGCTCATGCTTGCAACAGGGGATAGCTATGTGCTGTCTGAGTTTTCTGCTGTGGTTGCCCAGCTTATGAAATGAGCAACAATTTAAAGTCATTTCTACTCTCAGACCAGCTGCCTCGCAGTCCTGCAGTCAGCAGGACCGTGGGGCCGGGTCACTCTGCTCAAGCACGTGTATCACATAACCCTTCCTTGGTTTTTTTTGTTTGCTCTGGTCCCCACACACTGCCCAGCTGGAGGTGGCAGTCAGACCAGTCCCACTGCACATCCACCTTGCCATTGCTAGTCTTTGTGGCGTTAGCCCTACAGAACATTGCCAATGTCAGAACAGCCTTTCACACTGTCCCCAGGCCCTTACTGATGGGCTGCTTTCTGCCATCAGCGTGCAGCTCCCTTTTTTTCTCAAGCTTGGGTACAGTTGTCGGAGCCGGGATAAAGGCAAGTGCTCGAATGGAGCAGCACTGCCCCACTTCATGCCCACTTTAGGCAGGCACAGTCACTAGTGCTGGAGCCCACCAGGCTAGACCAGTGCCATGCAGACTGCAGGGAAACTGGTGAAAGTGGCTGTGCTAGTCTCTGAGAGCAACACTGAATTTGAAACACTGATGTATGCATTTGCTGCATTTTATAGGGGGAAACAGGTACACCTGCTTCTGCAATTAAACATTTCCAACTGTGAATGAGGCTTAGATTTCCTCTTGCTGACAAAGAGTACAAAAGGGAAAAAAGTTGGGAAGAATTTCTGAACATGCTATAACAGAGAGATATGATTAGGTCTAGATAATAATTATACCTTTTCTTCCCCCAATTATTTTTGCTTGTCCACTTGCCTGAAGTTAAGTGAGAATAGAATTAACTAGTTCTTGGTGCACGTGAAATTTGGCACTAGATCTGTGAAAGAGGTTTGAACATTCTATAAAGAAACCATTTTCTCTCTCTGTGCTTGCAAAAAACACTTTTTATCTGTGTCCTTCTTTTAATAGTAGCAAATCTTGCAACCCTCGATCACTCAAGCTATCCTTGCTTCTCCCTCTGCTATCAGCACACCCACTTGCATGAATAAGTGTTGTGAAGTTTCAGGAGTGAGCACGTTTTGTTTGTGTTTCGTTGAACTGGGCCAGAGGATGATGTTGAATGCATACTGATTTAGTAAGGACTGCGAACAAAAATAATGCTTTGTCACCTTTTATGACCTTTCTTGCAGCTGACTATATAGTGATGCAGTTTGGCCGCGTGGCTGAGGATGTGTTCACCATGGACTACAACTACCCAATGTGTGCACTTCAAGCCTTTGCAATTGCCCTTTCCAGTTTTGACAGCAAGCTGGCTTGTGAGTAAAGGGGCGTGGGTGAGCATCCTCTCAAAGGAAGCAGTTTGCCATATGATTCCCAAATCCTGCTGGTGTCACTTGTGGTCCATAATAAAAAGGTCAGGGAAAATGCAGTTGTGGAGGACTACTCTATTGCTGAAGAGAAAGTAAAAGGAATCTTCTAAAAATTCAGGACATTCAGGAAATTATATTTTCCTTTTTTTTTTTTTTTCCCTGTCATATTTTTCTGGAAGTGACATCAAGGTTTTGTAAATAGAAGTTCTATCTCATGTCCCTGGTTATGTTATGGATATGTGCCATGATGTACTGTACCGTGGCTCTAGTAGCACCATTACAGTGGTGTCTTTTTTAAATCCAGAAAGGGCGTGAACGCTCGAAAAGTTCCTTTTTACATGTAAGAATTATTCTGAGGCTGCAATCCATACCTCAAGGTTGCATTCCTCCATCGACTAATCAGAGCTTCACATCGTCCAGCGTTAAAGAAAGATCAGAAAAAAAGATGCACTTTTTTTTTGATTGTGCAAGGATCTCTTGTAGTATAAAGCCAAGTCTGAAGGTTGAAAACCTATACTGGACTGAACTTGATGCATTGCTATTGTACATGTAGTAGGGCATGATGAATTTTAATTGCAGTAGGAGGAAATGGAGAAGTAGAAAGCACAAAACAATGTTGCACAAGTCACTTGAATTCTAAGCTGTTGTTATGTTTTAACATCTACATGCTTTTTAATTTGTTTCAAATGAAAATGTATTTGAAGTACAGAAAAGGGAAAGGGAAACATCTAGATGCCAAGAAAGCATAACTTACGTTGAATTTGGCATTTCATGTACTGGGAATTTATATCCTTGTATTTCTCTGGTAATTCAAACAGATATTTTGTATGAAGTGATATAAACAGTTGGATAAAGGCTCTCTGCAGCAAATCTTATTATTTTGAACAGGCTGTGTAAAGCTGAGGAAGGTAAATGGAAATATTTTATTAAATTTGTCTGGCCTTTTGAGCTTTTACAATTTGTTGATTGCATTTTTGAACTTTCAGCGACAACCACTTTTCATATTTATTTCCCATTGTAAGAATGCTTGAAATCGATTGAAACTGTGTATGTTGTTCTCTGATGTAAATGTGCCAGCTACTGAGCTAAATCCTTCTAGGCAAATCTAGTGTATACTGCATACAAATGAGACACTGGCAGGACACAGAATACCTTTAAATAGTGTGGAATTTTTGGTTCCTTTTTTCTGATTTATCTGGAATATATAAAAAAATACCGTTTCAAAACACAAGCAAAGAAAAAAACATTCTATTATCTTCTCTCCTGAACATCTCAAAAGCCCAGAGCTGCAACTGAAAGCACACTGTAAAACACCTTTAAAAATAACAGTCTTTCTGCCATTGTTCTGTTCAATGTTATCCATAATAGTACACAGAGTAATAGAATTTATATGTAGTTCATCAGAAGGGTATTGAAATGTGAGTCAAGTGAAGAAGTTGTAGCGTTTTATACTGTGTGGATTCAGTTCCTCCTTTTTACTCTTTATAGACTCTTGCATTGCACAACCAAAGACTATGTAATGCAAAAATGAGATCAAATCACTGTCTCGTAGTTGCCAGTCCTTTTTGACTATAAGGGACAGTCCACAAGGCTCTCCTTAAGATTGTGCCATTTAGACTGTATAATTTCAACTAATAAAAAAAATATACTCTCTTCTTCACCTTTGCCTTCAGGTCTCCTTCCCAGTATATAGATAAGGAAATTTCATGGAAGAGATGAAAATAAGTGATTGCCAGCATTTTTATAACCTTTTAAACAATCTATGGAGAAGAGTCTGAGTCTGCTGGCTTTGAACAGTGTTTTGTTGATGGACTCAGCCTGTCAAATATTATCTTCAGTTAACAGGAAGGAAGTTCTGCCTTTTTTTTCAAATCTTTTTGCAAGAAGCCTTTCCATGCAATGGTGTAAAATGAAAAGACAGCTTTTATTAGAGAAAAATGAGCAGTCAGTTCCCTCAATGAATGACCAAAGTGATGAGTCATGAGCTGCAGCCTGATCCTTAGGCTTTGCACTTGGATATTTTTCTCTGTAGCTGGTGGTTTCCCACCATTTCACATCCCTATCTGTCATCTCACTTTAAATTTAACAGAGAAGACCCTTAGGCCTTTGCTTACCTCATATCAGTCTTTAAAAACTAGCTCAAATGACAACCAGAATTTTTTGTTTAGACTACTGCAGAACCAGTCAAGAATTCCCACTGCTGGCATTTAGGTGTGATATGGATTTCAAGAACTCTGCAGCACGGGAACGGTTGAATCTGCATGGCTTTAATTCTGTGCCTTGCCAGTCATACGCTTTCTAAAGCCTGAGAAAGTGGCACCTGACATAGTTTTCTGCTTCCCTCTGTGCACAGCACTGTGTCAAAGGAACTAAGTGTCTTATGGTGCAAATGCACAATCTGCTGGCTTTTGTAGTGGAGTTGGTTTAGGAAGGGTTATTTTTAACGCAGATTGTAACAATGGTCTGACTCACATCATGACCCCACTGGGAATTGGCATGAAAGGAAGCTCATGTGCAGTGAACTCCTGCACAAGGGTGAGAACGAGGGGCTGGGGAAAGGCAGCGAGTTCAGCTTCTTGGGGTAGTTTTGCTGCCAGCACATTGTGTAACTTCACTCTCACTGCATGTTCTTCCCAGCCAGGTATTTTTTTAACCTGTAACCATGCCAGGAGGAAAATGGTGACTCAAATTCCCATCATCTTAGCAGAATTGTATGAGGCCATCAGCCAACGAGCTGCTGAGGAAAAATCTCCCCACCATAAATTGAGGTCACTAGGGGGGGATGTTAACCTGGGACTGAAGAATGAGGAGCTCTCATTAAATCTGGTCTAGTTGGAATAGGATTTGTTCCTAGTAGCCTTTGCCAAAACCCTGATTCCTCACTGTTGTTGAGCAATGTACTAGGTTCTTTTGATTCACCTGACCTTTACCATCTGCTCTGGAAGCAGGGACTTTTAATTTAAAAACTATATTATTTCTGATGGGCATTTTCTGGTGAACATCTTTACTGCATGTCAACGTGAGGTGATATCACAAGTTTTCCAGCACATCTCTAAATTTTGTTCTCCTAACATGGTAAAGTCTTAGCATAGAGTCATACCTGAAATTACACTGTCCTCACAAAGTTAGATTTTCTTCCACACCAGTAATAAAATCTTGATACCAGTAAGTATTTTCAGAGATATATGCATACTAAAGTAACCAAGGTGTAGTTAGTGGCACACTCATATTAATAACTTCTGCTGGCCCTGCATGTCAATGTGCAACAGGGCATAACCTTGTTTACTCAGCGTGACAAAGAATATAATGGCCCTGAGCTGTGTATTTACTTCACATAGTCCTAGTGAGTGTCTGGATACAGTAGATTTAATATTATTTAAAATCCCAGTATTGATGATTTTTTGCATCTGCTGTTGATTTTGGCAGAGCTGTAAACAAATTCTTTGCCTGAATTGCTTATAGGCAAATACTGCATGCTTTAATGAGAGTTCTTAATCTAACTTGTCACTCTGTTTACATCAAACAGTTTCTTCCTGGCCCTTTATCTAATTTTCTTCATCTCTGATGTTCTGTTCCTTCTCATTCCCTTCACAATTCTTTTATCTGTTCTTTAAGGATGTGCAACTCAAAAGTGTTTGACAATATTGCTCAGTGATCTCTCCACAGATGAATAATGCCTTTGGTGCACATTCAGTGATGCTCCTACAATAGAAGCCTTATCAGAGGGATGAATTTGGCCCTTTGGCTTTTCAGTAGAGTAAATTAACACATTAAAAGGTAGCAGATAAAAAAGCTTGCCTAAAATATAATCAGAATTTTTCTCAGTAAACATTCAGTAACTGGAGTTTCCAAACCATTGGTTGCAAATCAATGAGCAGAGCTGTCCACAAACCCGGAGGCTGGCTGTTAGATTCCCTTTGTAGTGCTGCCTTATTTTTCCTTTTTTCAAAAGGTTGAAAGTGATTTTGTGAGCTGAAGTGTGTTGGTTGCCTATAATAGAGTTTGTTTTTTAGAAGCTAGACATCACTCTCCTCCTTTTGTAGGATAATATGTGGCACATAAAATAGTAATGTCATAGGCTATTGTTACAAATTCTGATGCTAAGAAATCTGTGAGAATGGTTTTGTAATAATTACTGGGCAAATCTCTGGCTATTCAAGTTCCTTACAATAGTGCTGGAGTTCCCAGCTGGCTGTCCTCATGAGGTACTACAACTGAAGGAGCTGTAGTGAAAAGGGCTCTGTAATAAAATCTGGTGGCTGCACAATCGAAAAACATTATTGTGGAGTCAAATGACACCACTGAGTTTTATCAGTCATGGTGAACCAATGCCATCAATTCAAACTTTGAGGTTTTGCTCCCTTATGATGAACAAAGGAGGGATTTTAAACAAGCAGAGACACCACTGAGTCCCTAAAAGTATTGAGTGTTAGACCTGCTTTTCTGCTATAAAAATCTTACCCCTACCCGAGAGCTACCCATTAAAAAGAAGGAAATCAATCCAGTCCTTAGTATGGAAAATCACTCCCAGTTCTTGTATCTTACATTTTTGCAAATTTTATTATTAATTTTTTAATTTATTAGTGATTTCACATAGGATGCAACAAGGACTGGGAAAAAAGTGGTTTTGCCCTGAAGGAATGATGAGTCTAGACCCCTACTGGAATATTTTGTCTTTGTTTATTTTAATAGGACAGAACAGGGGGTTACCTGGTGTTCCTGGCAGGGAAAGTTTCTCCTAACGTGTGGCAGGTGTCAGAGGAAAGATTTTGGGTTTGATCCTGTGGCATCTTAACTATCCGCCCCATTGCTTTCCTAAAACATCATTTTCCAGACTTTCCTGCTTTTAGAGAAGCATGTACTCACGAGTAAATAACTTTGCTTGGCAATTAAGGACAGCACAGCAGTCACCTTTATTAGAATTATGGCCTGATAACTCAGATTTCTCAGAAGGCCTCATTTCGATTACTAGAATAAAATAGTTTTATACACATAAGTCTTGCAATAGAATTAATTTAACTGTAGGTGCAAGCTTCTCTTGTACGTGCTACTTAATGAAAACAGGTTTCTGTTGCTCCTCGTGTACGAAAAGTACCTTCCAGGGTTCTGCTCTGCAAGTGTTTGAAATTAATTATGTAGACACTTTTCAGTTCTTTTTGTTGCTCACCAAGGAGCTAAGAAAAGAATTTGCACAACTCTCTCAATGCTTTGGTATTTTGCTATGAACTATAGCTCAGTAGCTGATACTCACAAATGCCTGTATATTGGATGAAAATGCATTAAAACTTATTTTGTATGTTGTATTTTATTTAACTGCCTAGAAATTATAGATTCCCCTTTTTCAGTAAGGGTATGTTTATACCTTCACTGATGAGAAGACTTGAATTAACTGACTTTCTTGAAACTGTTTAATGGAACCAGTACTCTGGTTTGCTAGATGGCTTTAGGAAGAGGATGCCATTCAGGAAAATTATGCTTACATTTTTGAGAAAAAAAAACACTTTCCTATTCATGTTGTAATTGGATTACACAATAACACTGGAAGCTTTTCGTGGTTTTATTTAAGTCTGCAATGACCGTTTGAAAATTACTCTGGCAAGAGCTTGTTAAGCACATGAACTGGAACGAAGTCCTACTTGAGAGTAGCAGGTAGTACCTAGCAAGTACCAGTGAATACTCATGCATCTCTATTGGTGCTTGGGTGCAAAAAAAGCCCTGAAGAGTCCAAATCTGTGTTAAAATCAGCCTAGTCTTTCAGATTGTCCAACAGCTGATAGAACACAGGCCTGGGGATCAGGTCACCTGGCTGGTAATCCCAACTGACTGTCTGACTTTGTGCAAATCTTGGAATGTCTTTGTGCCTCCATTCCAACAAGTTGAATGGAAATACTAGTTTTTAGCCTGCCTATGTCTTTCTCTTATCTTCTGAGAAGTTTCTCAGGAATATTTTGAGGCTGGTGGATGACAAGTGGTGTTGCCGTGCTCAGAACCCTATTAATGCTCACTGAAGGAACCTCAGTAAAAATATGAAGTTTTCTGCCACCTGTGTAGAAACTGAATAGCTGAACAATCTCTTAGGATAAAATACGATGCTGTTGAATTCTATGGAAATCTTGTCAATGATTTCAGTGAGGCTTCAGTTTTTCTACCTTGTGTTATTTTTAGTTACTGAAAGTGCAGAAAAAACAGTAGGACAAACCATCTGATACACATTTCCTTCTCACAGCGATGTGTTGTTTGTTGTGTTTTACTTTGCAGCATCAGTTGTTTTAAAACTATTATTCCTGAACACGTTGCAGAGGTTCAGTTAATGCAACCACCTATTTATGCTTTTATGGAGCAAACCAAGACACTTGGTGATTGTGCTGCAAATTGCATTTTTGTGCTGTTGTTCATTTGTTTTTTTCACTTGGATGTGACTCAGTTGTTCAAAACTGTTTTTACTGCAGACTTTGACTCTGTCACGTACATCTGATTTAAAAACAATGAGTCTTATCATTTATGACTACTTTTATACTGAAATGGGATGTTTACAATGCAATGTTTCTCACATTTCACCCTGTATCTGTGGCTTCCTACTGAGGCTATCCCAGTTGGCACAGTGCCATTAGAAGTGTCAGTAATTTATAAAGTGGACTCTCTCAAAGTACCAGAATGCAATTTATAAACATTTTTATAAATTTTAACGTTAAAATCTAGCTGATTTTAATGCTTACAGATTGCGTGACATTTCAACGAGATTATTTGTTCAAAATTTTCTTTCCTTAAGCTTGTTTTGAAGTTTGAGCTCTCATTTATGATGTAAGCTTCTGATCCTGCAGCTTCATCTGTGCAAGCCAAACAGAGCTCGGCCTGTGCAGATTGCCAGGCTTTGACTGCAGGAATCTGTCAGTGCGATGAGGAACACAGTAAGTGATGAGATTTCTGAAGTCCTAACAAGAGTGCCTTTCCTAATTCTCTTAGGCACTCTGGAACATCACGTAAGAAATCACGTACCTTTCCTATGTTGACTCACCAAAATAATAGCAGGAATATTTTCATTCCATTTGAATTTTAAATTTTTTTTTAAAGGCTATGCCTACTGTCTAGGTAAGTGTAACCTTAACAACATTTAGTCTTGATGTCTTGGAAAACTATATCATAAGATCACTTATTTTGCCAGTGCAGAAAATCTCATCATTACACAAAACCAGAGTATGTTGTGTGGCAGTGGGCTTTGGGCACTGCTCATGGGATAATTAAGCTTGGAAAAGACCTCCAAGATCATCAAGTCCAACCTTTGACGTTCTATTAAGTTCAGTGTTCAAACAAGTTTGTGAGGTCTGGCACCTTGTAACAGGAGGTCTTCATTCCAGTCTGAGAGAGCTGAAGATAACCCAATTATTACCATCCTGTTCTCTTCCCTAGGGACAATCTCCTGTCCTTGCTGGCTAGATGTAGAACTGTATTGATCCTGATGTGTCTTTAAACATTACAGCATTTTTTAGCTATTTTGAAAATGTTTTCAAAGATGTGGTTTAAGTTCAAATAAAATAGTCTTTGAAGTAGTTATAGGTGTACCGAGTTGATTTAGTTGAGAGGCAGCTGCCTTTTCCAGCCATTTCCTCAGTTGTTGTATGAGCAGTGCTTGATAGTTCTGCTGGAAAAAACATAACATAGCTATTATAATATGCTTTCCTTGGGTTTTGCCTTATGATTCTGCTGTTTTGTGCACCTCTGCATTTATTTCTGAAGGGCAGTACTTCCAGTGCTGAACACAAATAGAACAGTGTTTTCTAATAAAGTCTCTGCCTCATTTTCTGCTGTGGAGATTTACATGTGGAGATTTGGTATTTAATACTAAAAATATAAACTTTTCATCCAAGAAAAAAACCAGAATTTCTAGGCAAAGTCACTGACACTTAGTGCTATGTGCCTGGATTGACAGAGGGCTTATTTTTGCCAACCAGGAATCCTATTACTGGCAGAGTAGTGTGTGCATGAAACATCCTATGATACCCTGTTGCATACTACATCTGGGACACAGTGTGAGGGCCTGTCTTTGATAACAGCCCTCTCTCACCAAAATGGAACAATGTTCCTTTCTGGGGGGCTTTCTGTTGATACTTTTATGCTTGTTGAACTATCTTCCATCTTGGAGCCAATCTGTGATAAATATCAGCCTTAACAAATGTCCCCAAACTAAAAACAGCACTTTGGAAAGGTGCTAGTAAAGCCTCACATAAGTCTGGGAGCAGCAGGTGAGTATTCTTATACAGAGTTCTCATTAGGCAATTGAAGTTGCACTGTAATCAAGTTTCATGCAAATTAATTTATGAAGATGGCCCAGAACAAACACAAGGGTCCTGTGCAAGTGTCAGGAACTGAGAAGTTGCTCTGCAAAAAACTTAAATCGAGTCCACTGAGTTTTCCTAGGTAAAGAAAAAAACCCAACAATTGGTCTCTATTTCATTTCTAACTGTATTTATTTGTAGATTCAGTGCTTTATAATGTAGGCTAAAAAGATAGATTTTCTGTGTTCTGTTAATTCTAACTTCTGGGTTAAGTAGGACTGCATCAGTGATGTGTACTCCTAAAAGATTTGTAGCAGTGTCATCTCAAAAAGCTGATTGTGGAATGTGGCTCTTTAACTGTGATGAACTCTCAACAGTTACTGAATTCAGTGACACCATGACAAGGTTTTTTGTTGGATTTCTTTTCTTTAAAAAGGAATCACCCCCAAACCCTGTTTTTGAAAGCACTGGTTATTCTGTCTTTTGGACCACATTGCACAAGTCCATGAGGATGAACTCCTATTTGGTAGCACTTCAAACACTTTTTTGAAGGTGGTAGATGCTTTTCAGCTTCTTAGTAATCTATGTTACTGCAATTGCCTGGTTTTGTTCTCTGTTCCCTGATTTCCCCACCCCGCCCCCCCCAGTCTATAACTTTTTCTCCTTTCAAAGATGTACAGGTTTTTCCATATGGGGACACTCCAGAACACTAAGTCAGTAAAACCTCTATAAAGTCAATGTCTGTGAACTAAAGTGTGTTAAATCCCTGTGTATATGTTCCCATTTTGAAATAAGGTGGCCTTCAGTTCAGGTTGTGTAATCCTCCACCCGGGTATTCATCACATTGTGCAGTTCAAGGTCGTTGGTGAATTTTAAAGTGCTGAACAGGTTTCTGACCAAGATATTGGAGAACATATGTAAAGGGATTCACCCTTCTGTACTCTCAGGGTGGCATTTAGGACTTAGAGTGCCGCATTCCTAACAGTTGGCTCCTTGAATTGCACCTGCCAAGCTCAGCACCTGCACCCTTGAGGCCACGTTTCTGAAGTCCTCTTTTCCTACTGCAGTAGTTTTCAGCACTCCCTGATTTATTGCCACCTGTATGGTGAATTTAAGCTTCCTGACAAGAGTGTGCTTTCTTCTTGGGTTTTTGTGGATGTTGGGGTCTGGGGACTGTATGCTGAAAGCAACTGCTTTACCAGTGCAGCAGAGCTTGATGCTAGGGGCGTGATGTAAATGATGCCAGTATAGCTAGGTTTATATTTACAGTGCCCATCAGAGGTATGCTTGTTTGTCAGAAAATAATCTTCCTTTCTCTTTTTCTTCTTCATTTATATCTGCCTGGATCTGGAGGATGACAGTCCCTCTTAGCATTCATGCAAGCAGCCACCATATCAGAAAAACACACACAACGGGTTTATTATGGACGGGTTTATCACTAAGCAGTGCAACTCTTACATGCTTACTGTCACCCTGCCCTGTTACAGTGCATGTTTTTCCCTGTGTGCTGTTTCCTACCTTGTGTGTCTGTCACCAGTCAGAGGACACGGCTGCAAAGACGTGCATGGAAGCTTAGCAAAGAAAATGCTGAACCGAAGCCATTAAAATACAGCTCTCCCAATACTGAAGAAAGAGCTCCTCCTGAAGGCAAAAATTGGGACCTGTGGTTCTTTAAGTTATTTGAAGTTTCCGTGTGTTTGCATTGCATATAAGAAGATAACACCTTTTTATTATACTTGCACTATTTTGAGTTCTAAGCCCAAAAAAAGGCATCACAGAATCCAAGGAACGCAGTTACAGAGGAGCAAACCAAAGTGCAAACAAGCTCCATTTACAGATGTGGAGGAACTCCAGCGTGCAGACGAGGCAATAGGATGTGCTGGGGAATGACAGTAGGGTGATTTTTTGCTGGAGAATTGGCCACACTGCTTGGCATCGCTTAGAGTGAGTCACGGATTTCAGTGGTGGTTGATACACTAGGATGGTCACTGCCTGTGTTGTGTTATGTTGGTAAGAACTCTGCCCACACCACGTGTTTCTCTCCTGAACAGCCCGATTTATGTGCATATCTCTTCACGGTGACACTTTCACCCATTTATTTCTATTTCAGGCCTAATCCCAAACCTGCTGGTGTAACTGAACATTTCTTTCTAACTTCTCTTGTGTCTCCATAATGCCACATTTCCGTGTCTGTCCCACAGTCCTGATGTCTTCTTGTCTGTTTTTGTTTAAAAGTGGGCTTAGATGGATTGCAAAAATTGGGAATTACTGGCATGAATACTTCAGAAAGTTGGAAAGGAGGCCAAAGTTGGCTCTTACACACATCCCATGAAGACTTGTTGACACTCAAAGGGAGATGTAGAATGTCTATTGGTGAAAAAGTTGACCTTTTCCATTAGGACGTGTTGTCAAATTCTGTGATGTCCTTACTGCAACTAAACAGAGCATTTAGAAAAACAAAATGCTGCCCATGATTTAGGGGATAAAATAGTGGATAACTGAACCTGCACAAGAATTAGCAAATCACAGAGGGAGTTTCTCTAAGGAACAAGGTCTGTAAGAAACAAACCTTTTACGGTGGGTTACTGAAAAACATGTATGAAAAACATAAATATTAGGAGTTTATTAATTTTATTAGTAGTATCTTAAAAGTATAAAAATCTTTTCTTGTGATTTAAACTAACAGTTTATTTCAAATTAAAATCCTGTGCTTGGGGACAGGAAAATCAGGTCATCTGGCAGTTATAAACCATAAAGGGGGCATACATACATGTCCACTACAGATGGATTCCCAGTATTAGGGGTGGGCTTAATTTATGACTTTCCCAATGTGTTCCAGAGGTAGATGTGCAAATATTTGTGCTGTGCACACACACACATATAAATATGGATATAGTCTTAAAAAAATTTCTTTGGTGGTATTACTCAGTTTTCTTTCCCTCTGTTCACAGTGACATATAAACCATTATATTAATTTGCCTTGGTGTTAATTATTTCAAAATCTCTCTAAAAGAGTCAAATATTTGAAACTTCTATAACAATTTTGAACAAGTGATTTTTTTTTCTGTTGAAAAGATTAAAAAAATTCTCTCTCATGCTTTCCATGTAAGTGTCTGTACCTTTTACAGAGAGCCATCTGCTCTTCCTTTGAGGTGGCTTTTCAGTGGGATTGATCCGTGCAGTGAGCCAATTTCTACCCTGTGATTACAAGACTGGGGCTTTTGTTTCTCCTTTTTGAACAATTTCTTATATTCAACGGCAAGAAACAAGGGGAAAAGTATCTGTGGAGGATGTTTTGTAATCCATTGCACCTTTAGGAAATATCTCAGAAACTCAATAGTTTTGAGGTGGTTCATTTCTGAGAGTTCCTAGTAGACACAGAGGTGGTTTTGTACTTTCCAACATCATCTTCATCCAACTAATGACAGTCTGAAAGATCCAGTGTTTGGGAGCAGCTGAAGAAATACCCATTTTAGAATGTCTTGTGACTATATCTGCCTGTAAAGAAAAATAACCTTTGTTTCTGACATGTTTACTTACACTTCAAGAAGTACAAAATGTGCTACATGAATGTTTCTATCCCCAGAAAATGAAAAAGCAGTTTAATTAGGGGGGGTTTATTTTTTTTTTTTATTCCCGCAGTAAACATTTTCTTATTCATCTCTTTGCCTTTCTTAAATAAACCAATGGTATACAGTAGAATTTGGATATGTTTAAGTCTAGATTTCCTTTATATTCTATGGGTTTAAAGAGTGGAATATATCAAAATTGACAAAAAATGACTTAATTGTGAGAACTAATATTTAACCAGACATGTTTTGTCATAGTGGCTGTAACACGTTATGCTTGTTTGCACACAAGACTGTCTTGGCCTGTTTGGACTATTCAGGCATCTCCTTTTTGTTCAGACCTATAGAGACTTTTAGATAAACCTGCAAGAATGTGCTTTTACAAATTAAATTTTTTAAAGAAACTCTTTGTTATTCCGGAGTAAATGTATTTATTTACCAGTATGTGCAATGACTGATTTTTGTACTTTCACATAATTTACCCTGTGTATGTCATAGAGGTCCCAGTGTTTGTGAATACAGAACACTGTGCAGGAATATTAAACTTGTTTGAAACAACTAAGTCTTTCCCTACCCAAGGTCAGAAACACCTTGATAAATTATCTACACTGAGTATGGAGGTTATTTAACACAAGGAGTTTCCAGTGCCATTTAAACTGTATTTTTACCTTGAATGCCAACAGGAATGCCTTAGGATGTTATACTATCAGTCCAGATTTTACCAGATCTGCAGTCATTTTTGGTCTGCAAGTTTTTCTTAAACTGTGAGCTCAAAGTCTTGAAGTGAGTACACACTGTAGAAATACTCCTCTCTCCCATTTCCATGAAGAGGACAGTGAGATTCCTCATGAACACCGGCCGAGCAGAGGCCACTCGTTTGCTGCCTTGGGTGTCTCTTTCTTGCTGCCTCAGTGCTCTTTGTTGTGAGAGAAACCAA